TTGCCCTTCAATGGGGGAAATGAAGACGTTATTTCGTTGCACTGTGATGTGTCTGTTAGTTGTCTTTTGAAAAACAATTTTTAAAGCTCTTGTCCCAGTAACTAAAAACATTGAATAAAGCTTACTTGTTCTATCTGCCTTGCCTCGAACACATCAAATTGATTTTAACAAATCTCTGGGTGAATCTAACTTCTGATAAATACACATTAATCTTTAACACTTGTTGAGCATTAAGAAGCCTAACTGATGGCTGTAACAACTACAGCAAGATTATATTTCTTTAGCGCCTTTCACGTCTGGAGGATGTCCCAAGGAGCTGGACAGTGACAGCATTTTAGACCCGAGCTGGGGTCAAGGGGGGAGAAGGGAGGGGAGGGGAAGGGGTGGCCAATGGCATGATCGAAGAGGAGGATTTTGAGGCGGGACTTGAAGGAGGCTAAGGAGGGGGTGAGGCGGAGTGATTGGGGGATGGAATTCCAGAAGTTGGGGGCAGAGTGGCTGAAGGCTCTCCCACCAATGGTGGGGCGGGTGGGTCGGGGGACGTGGAGCAGGCCAGAGCCGGCTGAGCGGAGGGAGCGGGCGGGTTGGTAGGGGGTTAGGAGGTCACAGAGGTAGGGTGGGGCGAGGCCATGGAGGCAGTCTGTCAGGACAGCAGTGGTCCTGGAGTTGAGGGTGGAGGCAGAAAGATAAGAGTTGGGTGTCATCTGCATACAAATGGGCAGCGCGGAAGCCGGATTGGAAGTCGGAAAGTAATAGATTATAAATTCAGAATATGATTTTGCTCCATTCCTACTTCTGCTTCCAGAGATTTGAGATGATTATTGCATAGAATTACATAGAATAATATGGCACAGTATCAGGCCAGTCGGCTTGTTACACTATAGGCAATTCCCAGCCAAACTTGTAGCAAGGGAGAATATTACGGTGCACCTGCAACTTGTCTCTGTCGGTATTTTTACTGTACGTAAGTTTCCATCCCTCCTAATCCCCTTTATTTTAGCCTCCCCCCCCATCCATACCTTAGTTATATCCAGGTCCTGAGTGCTTTCTAACTATGCGTTGGAGTACTGATCTCAAGCATTCCAGACATGCACTGGAGAAAGTGTCTCCTACAGAGGTCCTGAGAGTAGCATATTTCTACTTTTCTTTTCCACCACAGGTTTCAGATTTTCGCCCACATTTAACTCACAAAACGTTTGTGAGCAGCTAGGTTTCCCCCTAACTGGATGCTCACGACTCACTGATTCAAAAACTTTTCCATAACCATTGCCAATACTGCCAGCAGATTACTGATTCAATGAGAGATACGCTTATGTGAAGAAATTCTATCTGGGTCTAGATTTACTCTATTTATGTGGCATTTCAGAATGATCAGAATTTGGCAAATTCTTAAATACAGGCTTAATTTTAAAGCTGGTTTTCTGTAACTTCTGTTAAGAACTAATGAAACACTACTTCAAAGTACAAAATTCAACAATTCACCAAACTTTTCAATATTCCGAAATGCGACTTAAATAGAGTAAATCTAGACCCAGATGGAATTTCTCTCCATTTACAATATAGGCAATTCCCAGCCAAACAAGTCAACACACTGCATTTCTTTTGTGTGATTTGTTGATGTGTTTCAACAACAACAACTTGAACTTATATAGCGCTCTCCACACAGGCTAGCATTTCAGAGCGCTTAGCAGTGGTGGAGCCTGACTCTGAGCCGGGGGGAGAGGGGAGATAAGGTCAAAAAGGAAGATTTACAGGCAGGACTTGAAAAAGGGGAGAGAGGGGGCAAGGTGAAGGGATTGAGGGAGAGTGTTCCAGAGTTTCAGGGCATAGTGGCTCTGTGCGTTTGAGTAATCCAGGCGGAAGGTGACAAACGTGACAAACGTGTGCACGACAGTTTTGGCTGAATACCACAGGACTGCAAACTGCATTCATTGGTTCTGTGATCCACATAACAATTCCAATTTTACTGATGTTCGGATAGGCTTTTACAGCATTTATTAAAAATGCAATTGGCTGGAACACAATACAATATGGGATGCCTAGATAGAACAAACCAACTTGCATATATACTGAAGCCAGCTCCAGGGCAAACCAGACACAATGCTGCATGGAACATTAGTTTCCTTTGTTGAGGTTTGCCACAGTTTAGAAACAGTTCATAGTTATTGTGCACATCAAAATGCTGATTTCAGTTAATCTCCGAGAGCCATGTGCAGCATATGTGATGCATTAAACGGACAGTATCAAGACCTCTGTTAGTTCATGCAGTACTCATTTATTGACACGACATGTCTCCAGCCACTATTTTACTGTCTTTGTACAGCCTGCTGGTGACATCTTGTGGCATAAATCAAATGAATGACCCTTAAGACACTGGCTCGGATGAAGAAGGCACTTCAGCCCATTTGATCTCATCTTTCCAGAATACCCATCCTACTGTCCTTGTATCCCAGCATCAAGTTGTTCTTTAAATGAGTCCATTGTCCTTGCCTCAAGCACACTTCCTGAAAAACTGTTGCAGGCATTATATACTCTACCTGGGTAAAGATACCCAGATATCTGCGTAAAGATACTGTTGTCTATCCTAAAATTGTTCTTTGCAACTCTAAACTTATGTCCTTTTGGTCTGCTGCCTCAATGCATCTGAAAGGATGTTAGCTTTACACTGTGTTTTGATGCATTTCCTGGGCAACATTTTAATGATCCAAACTTTTTTTGCAGTCAATTTGCTTCTCTTTTTCTCCTCGCTGGCTGATTTTTCTTCCTGAAGGAGCTGAGTCTTGCTGGCGTACACCTCTATAGGCACAAGCCATCCTCTTGTACCATATACAAGTGGTCATTATTGTTAACAACATGGATATGATTTTGCAACTTCTCACATCAAAACATTTCAAATGCTTTCAAATGACTTTGAACTGTCGTGAATGGTATTGTTTAGGCTCACATAACGGTAGCCTGTATTTTTGAAAAGAGTGCTATTTAATAGTGTCAGCTTGGTTCAGTTGGTAACACTCTTGCCTCTGGGTCAAATAATTGTGCATTCAAACCTTACACTGGGATTTCAGCTCATAATCTACACTGAAACCTGCAATATTGGGAATGTTGTATTGTCAGAAGGTACTGCCTTTTCACTGAGGCAGTCAACCACAGGTCTCATCTGCCCATGGACGTTTAAGATCTAATTGAAAGGATAAGAAAGTTCCTCAGTGTCCTGGGCAATCTTCTCAATCTCTTGGCTCTTTGTAAGACCTTGTTGCGTACAAAATGTCTACCTACCAAAAATAGACAGGACACTTGACAGCAATTACCTTAAAGCTCTTTGAGATAGAAATGGTAATGTTTTGCTTTCTATCCAAGCTTAGTTTTGTCATTACCTGTTCACTCACACATGTGCCCCATTCCAACAGGGTTCACTTGATTTATATCAGAACAGGGAAACCAGGCTGATTTCTGCACCCCTCTTACCAATTATAGCATCCCAAATCCAGCTGAGACAAGCTAACTCAGCATTGACCTGACATGACACGACACACTCCACTGCTGGCAAATACAAAGGCTGCCGCAGGCCAGCTTTGAGCTCAACTGCTGGGTTGGAGTTGGGTGGTGGTTGTATTCATCAGTGATGTGATAAGTATCACCAATGATAATTAACAGACTACACATCACGAGTTTTACCCCCATTTCATTCACTATTGTGGAGTTCCACCATTTTCGTGTAACCAGTGAAATGCTGCCAGAGGGGTCGCTGTTTTGCACTATGTTCTGGTGCACTTCCATCAGAAAGCTTTCCGTACAGATTTGTAATGGGAAGTCAGCTTATTACATGGTTAAGAGTGAATAGTCTGGCGCAATTCAATAAGCCAGCAATCTGGTCAAGCGGTTAGATGACATCATCTGAATTCCAAAATACGATTATATCCTTTAACTCGCTCCAGGGTATCCATGTATAAATAACTTAAGATCTAAGCTGGGTCTGGAGGTAATTCCTCCTTTAAGGTGTCTTTGCCATCATGATACTTTATGACGTAGACAACTGTGGCATAATCACTGAAATTTTATTGAGTGATTTGATAATCAATGCATCATAGGCAAACTATTAGACATACTACTATATGGGCATAAATCTGAGAAGCACACAGCAAACTTATCAAGACAGGTTATGCTTGAATCAGACCTTCTATTTAACAGTAATGAATAGGACTTCAAAATCGCAATGAAGATTATGGATTTTGTGTCGGCTTACTTTTATCTGTTTATCTTGAGTTTGCTGAAATGTATACATTTGTTTCAGCGTTTCTGTTTAGAAAGTCAGTTCTGTAAAATATTACTGCCACAAAGCTTTGGGATTGGTTTAAAGATCCTTCCTTTGTCTCAGGCTCTATAGGTTGCTTACAAATTGGCACAATCAAACGCCGCGCAGAAAGCCTTATAAAAAGTTTCTATAAAAGTTAATTCAAGTTCAATTGAAATTGTGCACTCGCTGCTAAGTCATAAGCAAAGATTTGGCAGGTGTCTGTGTCTGCTTTGATTGAATGTTATATGAAGTCTCTTTGGGCATTCTAACAACCCTGGGAAAAATGAAACTCAATGTTGTAGACCAGGAGGGAGACCTGAACAAATGGAAATACCAATGGGACCCCCATAGTTCATTTGATCACTTTGGATCATTTCAGGACTGTGGCAGCATGGCCCTTTTCTTTATCCTATGATGCAGACTTCGTACTGCTAACTGGACCGGCAGCAACAAAGATACAGAGTATTTTATACTTACTTTGCAATGCATTTGGTCATCCAAATTCTGACAGTCTAATGGGGCCATTGAGAGTCAAAATTACTGATGCCTATTTTCTCTGACAATGATGTATCTATCCATTATCTCTGAGAGCATTGACAGGTTGGCCATTCTGGATTAGGTGTGCCTGCATACAGTTCTTAGTAATAATAATGTGGTACCAGTTTCAAGTAGGAGACCATTGGTTCGTCTTGTCTACCCATCTAATTCCCCTCAAAGTTCCTTTTCATCTCTAAATGTAATAACACTGACTATTTTTCAGTTGACCACAACCTCTCCGAGTCCTTTTTGAAAGCCTTGTTAGTTTTGTGTTCCACCACTTGCATTGGAAGTCCATTTTTCACAAAGACCAGAAAATAGGCAGCTGTCTCCTCCATCTCTTCTATCTCTTTCTGCAGATTGAAAATACAGATTTGGGTTATCCAGATAAAGAGATAAAAGGGCACTTGGACTAACTTACTTCAGGATGAGCTGCTTTTAAGCAAATACCTTGCTTTCATTTAAATTTTATTTCACGTATTCAGCAGAACTTTACATTAATCACAAACATTTATTATATTAATAATTGAATATTACAGTATATTCTATGAAGAACTTTGAGACATCTCAACAATGTGATAAGCCACTATATCGAATGCAAGGATTAATATTACAGGTATTATTATGTTGCAGTCCAGATCCTTAATAAGTTTTTCAAAACTCTTAGGTATTCAAAGCTTTTCAGAACTTAATAAAACAAAATAAACACAGACTGGAGTTACAGCATAAGGACCACCACAAAATTAATATAAGTAAGTAGAGGGCACTATAACCCTTTTATGACAAAACACATTTGTAATCTTGTGATACATGCGTTATCTAATAAAGATACACACTAGAATAAGTTAAACTGATAAATTTGGTTCATTTCAAGTGGGATGGTTATGTAGGGGAAAGGGGCATGGGCCAGCTAAGAAACATGCAATGGAAATCCACCACTCAATGCCCTTTCAATAATCATCTATCTGTTATTGCAAACGTGAATCTTTGATCAGTCATAATTATTGGCTGGGCTTGTGCTGGAAAAAGGGAGATTGCTGCAATAAAAGAATTTTGACGCATGTGTTATTTACATCCAGGCTCGACTCCTAAAGGAATCTGTGTTCAGACCCAACCCAGACTGATAATAAAGGCTCTTCTCTTGGACATCTATAAGTGAATGAGTTGGCAGTATTCTCATCCTAGTTCCCAGTATACAATAATCAACAGCATGGAACTGCTTAGTCCATCAATCTCACTTAGGTCAACTATAATGATGGACAGCATGGGAAGCGGAACAAACCTATTGGTATATAGTGTTGTTTTCTAGAGAGACCAGACTTTAAATCCATATCAATGTCAATATTCGTGACTGCAAGTGGAGATCTTTAACTGGTAGCTTTAACTGATAAGTAAAACCTACTGAGAATATTTATGGAAATTTATATAGTGAGAGACTGCAATTGAAACGTTTTAGTGTTCAACTTCTTAAGAACAAAGTTTTAATATTAAAGAATATTTTAGTGTGTGTGTGTATGTGTGTGTGTGTTGGGGTGGGTTCAAGTTCCAATCTGTTTGCTCCAGGTGGTGAATCTGCTGATGTGAGCGATGCATTGAGAGCAATTCTGTTCCATTTGATAGATTTTGCAAATTTATCCCTAACTGCTTTCGAATAAACATACTGCAACTTTAACTTAAAACCAGATTTCCATTATGAATGCAGAATTAAATTATGCATATAAAACTGACATACAGCTACTTTGAGGAGCATGCATTCGTGAAACTTACCAATTGGAGCGAAGTAGTGATTAGTTTACATTAACAAATTTGTTACTTGGAGCGCACAGAGTCAAATAAGGCCCTTTCTCAAGTATATGGATGATTCATGTAAATTGATTTACCATGTAACAGATTCCAAGAGCACATTTATTTATATGACATAAAACGCCATCTTTAAAATTTACTTCTTTGACCGAGCTTTCAGAATATCTTTCTCTGGACTTGAAGATGGTGGCTTTCAACTGCTTGTTAGTGGAATACCAGATATGTCAAATATTTTGCTTACTTATCAGCTGAAGCCAGTATTCGACTAACGCAGCAGCTGAGACCCATCTTCTGTGAGCTTGAAGTCTAATATTTTGGCCCAGGCTGGGTGTGATCGATATCAAATGTTTGTGTGGATGTTAAACATGCTATGGTACTATTCAAAAAGAGAAAGTATCCTAGTGTCCTGGTCAACAATTCCTCGGATAAAATTGTACATTCGCCTCATTTGGGGACATTGCTGTGTACAAATTGTTTGTTGTATTTGCCTACAAAATACACAGTTACTGCACAGTTGCTATGTTGAGCCATTTTGACATGATAAGGCGCTATATCAAATGCAAGGATTATTAGTATTCAATGTAGTAAATAACCAATGTATCGCCAAACTGACCCCAATGTCACAGTTTAAGTTTATCAAGGTTCACTGAGTGCATTAGTCATCAATTTTCAATGCATTGAAAAAGAGATTTATTGAAACAAAAACCTGTGCAGCTTGAAAAAAAGCAAACTTCAAAACTATGCCTCCATGTCAACTGGAACTTTTCAAGCACATAATGAATGGGTAGTTAAAAAACAGTTTATGTGTCTCACTTCGCATTTGTTTTTGGCTGTGAGAATAGCTGTAACTAATGAACCTGTTGTTCTAATATGATGGACAAACAGAGGCTGGATTCCTTCGAGCTAATCAGACCAGCGGTGTGAAATGCAAGGTCTTGGGAAGCTCTCATTAGAATTCCAGCACTGCAGCTGGGACTTAGCCCTCTGTGCAGGTGATAAAGTTAACTATTGTTTGCATTCGAGTGACTCAAGCTTCCTGGCAACAGTGCAGAATTGCTCAGGCTTTATGCAAGCTCAGTTCGCCCACTGTTTTCTCCACAACAATGCATCCAGGCAAAGAGATGGCCTCCCTCGGTTCGTGAAGCCAGCTTTAAGCAATGAATGGGCACTGGTCTTTCCTGAGTAGATGACTACTGTGGGAACCAATAGTGATGTCACCCCAAATGCATTTCCACAACTTTTTTTTCTCTTTCTCTCCCCGTCTTTTTCTCTCCCGCCTTCCTGTTTCATTGAGGCTATTTATTCGGAAAGTTCAGAACACATACAAACACGAAGGCTCCACAGTGACAGCATTGTCATGGTAACGTGGATCTACTCCTCTGTGCCTCTCTATTTGAACAAACCAGTTTGGACCAGCTGAGACTTGGGGGTGGGTGAAATCAGTAGGATTTTGGACAGTGTGGAAAACAAATTTGTAATCCTTCACACTCGGAGCTTTTGAAAAGGTTCGCAATTGTAACGGTTGTGAAAAGGGAGTCTAACATTGCTTAGCGAGCCATAAGAATCATTCAATGATGCTATTAAAGACCCACTAAACAGCACAGATAAAACGGGTAAAGTTACAAAAAAAAGCCTTCATCTGTATCCTGCACAGAAAGATATCAAGTGGTTTCCATGCGTCTTGTCAAAGCAGCGAATAAAAGTGAATTAAAGTCTCACATTCTGCTGCCAGGATTCAATTTATAGTCAGACTGAGAAATTATAAGACTGAGAACGATAGTTCTTCAGATCTTTCTGTGAGATTCCCACAAATAGTTCTTCCAATTTCTACTTCATATTCAATAAGTGCAAATTAAACTTTACATTGTATTGATGTTTAGAGTGTTCCTTTTCATTGATGGATTATTCAAAATTTATTTAAAACCAAAATGTTTTTAAAAAATATTGCTAGTCATTTCTCCGATCGCTTGTCCTACCACTGTGTTTCTTTGCTTTTAAATAAATGTTTTACATTCTTTCAAGTGATCTTCAAAATAGATAGCCTACAAAATACGCAGTCACTAGACTTGCAGTAAAGGACTTTGTGAAGCACTTTGACATGTCCTCACAATGTGAAAGGTGTTATATCAAATTCAAGCATTACTATTATTATTATTATTGCACTGTGTATTGCTAGCACTGGAGTCCTGGTTACAACAACATTACATTTGGATAGTGCCTTTCATGTTGGGAGGATGTGCCAAGCTGTTGGACAGACAGAGTTTCGGACCTGAGCTGGTGGTCAGGGTCAGGGAGGGTGGAGGGCAGAGGGAGAGCAGGGAAATCGAAAGCAAGTCGAAGAGGAGGGTCTTGAAGGTGGCAAGGGAGGGGGCGAGGCGGAGGGACTGTGGGATGGACTTCCAGAGGGTGGGGGCAAAGTGGCAGAAGGCCCACCCACCAATAGTGGGGGATGTGGCGGGGGATGTGAATCAGGCCGGAGCCCGCTGAGCGGAGGGAGTGAGCGGTATGGTAGGGGGTTAGGAGATCGCAGAGGTAGGGGGAAGTAAGACTGTGGAGGGCTTTGAAGATGAGGACCAGGATCTTGAACTGTATCCTCTGTGTGATCAGAAGCCAGTGGAATCGGGCGAGGATGGGAGTGATAGGGTCGTGGAGCCTAGTGCGGGAGAGGATGTGGGCTACAGCGTTCTGGATGATCTGTAGTGTATGGAGGGAGGAGTTGGGGAGGCCGACAAGCAATGATTAGTGGGATACTGGTTCATAAACATCAGATAAAGCTGGTGTGCTACTAACCAGCAAAGCAATACACATTGCTAACCAGCAAACCAATATATCTCACTAACTGGTAGATAAATTTTGTCTCTCTTCAGGACATCCACCCTAGAAAATAAAAAGTAAACAGAAAGGATTAGTTGCAGCTAATTCTAGCAGTTAGAATCTACAAAACCTGCTTACGTCATTTCAATCAAATAGAAAATGGGGGTGACTGCGCATGAAAGAGGAAGATAGCACTTAGAGGGCGAGGTGGAGGCTGCCACATAGTGATTTTTAAAACCGGTGATAATTAACACAATAAAAGTCAACAACTTTAACCCTATATCTTGTTCTGCTGCTTGAAGCTAAAGGATTTATTCATCATCTGATCATTTTCTTTCCAGTTTATCAGACAAGAGAAATGTAATCCCTTAAAGCTGGATGGGATGCAATCATTGTGTGAGAAAACATTGGTTTCTTGTGTTTTAATTTATCTACTTGTGTTAATATAGTACTGATAACTTACAGTACTTTACTCAACATCTGGTACCATGTGGTTAGTATGGTTCATGGTCAGCCTCTGTCCATGTGCTTTATAAGCTGAGTAAGTTGTTCACCTGCTGTTTGAGAAGAGCTGATATTTGAGACCAGCTGCAATGATGGTTGATTTATTCCAGTTAGGTCAGGTGTCTGACATATGCAGGATCCCATCGACACACTTAAGAGTATTCAAACCAGACTGGTGGAAGAACATTTTCCCAATAGACAATAAAAAAAGAAATTGCATTTCATAGCTCCTTGAAATATCTCAAAGTGCTTCACAGGTTCCTTGTCACATTGAAATATCTCAAAGTACTTTGCAGGTAATTACCCTACCCTACCGACCCGGCTGCTTCCTTCACTCAGTTAGCCACATTCCTGCTTCATGGCCTCCGCCCTATCTGTCCGACTATTAGTGGCCGGGCTTTCAGCCTACCTGCCCCCACTCTCTGGAACTCTCTCTTGGAGTCTCACCGACTCGCATCCTACTTCACTTTGTACAAAAGTTACCTCTTTGCCTTCCTCACGCCCCTCGGCTTCCATCCCAGGCTCAGGTGCTGCAGGACTTTTAATTACTGTCAAGCACTTTGGGTCATCCTCCCGATATCAAATGTCTGTACTGTATAAATGAAAATGTATATTACATTGTGTATTGTAATGTCAAATGTAGTGGCATTTTTAGAGGCCAAAGCAGCAGGCATTTTTGTGAACACTAGCCATGGAATTGGGCAATCCTCCAGTGCATAACATGTACAGCAACCAAATGACACATATGCTTCTTGCCTAGTCGCTGTATATGTTGAATCACTTTTGCTAAAGAGAGTCCTGGGATTATTATTTTGCATGTGGATCATGAACTCCACGGAAAAAAAAAGGTGCAGCAGAATTGAACCAAAACACATTTTACTCCCTGACCATTTCGATTTAATCCCATTATGGAAACTGTTGCTTTCTTCCAAGCAAAATAATTCTTAAGATTGGAAACACATTCAGCCTTTAAGCCTCTTTCTTCAGCAAGATCTCTGCTGCCAGGATTCTAACAGATGCAGAATGTATTACAGCACCATTTTGCTTGAAATTCTTAAATCAATGATTCTTCCCTTACGAAAAAGTGTACCAAGTTTTCATAACAAATATACATTTGATATGGTTCTAAACTTTGTCTCAGTGTTCCTTTTAAGCAAACACTCAGTGGGAAATAAGATTGATACTTGACAACTGAACAAATTTGCCCATTGACGAGCATTAGTTTTATTAGCAATTGGCTGCCACGTTCCACCCGCAAAATACAGTCAATTCACTTTACAGTATATCTAGTGAAGCTCTTTGAGACATCTCAACAATGTGATAAGGCGCTATATCCAATGCAAGGATTATTATTATCATTATTATTTTATTAAAAGGAGAAACCCAACTCTATTATATAGTTATTGCAGAGTTACAGTGGCATTCGCACAGTGTTGGAGACTCCTCAAATGGACTGCTCTGAAAAATTGCTTCAAAAGTTGGGTTTGGGCCATCTGGGAAGCTGAAAATTTTCCAAAGTTTGAAAGCCAATTTTCCACAGTTTTTTTAAAAAAAAAGTGGAAAACGGATTTCCAAATTAAGAATTTTCCAAAATTCCTCACAGTGTTACATTTTAAGACAACAATACTAAGGTTAAGACCATGATGAATTTCAAGCCGCTGGATCATTCTGATTATGGGCTGCAGTGAACACAAAAGTAAAAAGCATTCCTTGTCGTTTTATCATATAAAAAAACTTGCATTTGATATGGCGCCTTATCACCTCGTCAGAATGTATCAAAAAATACTGGAAAGTGAAGCGACATTTGTTGGCAAACACATGATAAAGCCAATTTGCACACAATCCAATGGCCCACAAACAGCCTTGAAGAGAATTGCCAATTTTATCTGGTGAATTGTTGGCCAGGACACCAGGAGAAACTCCCTTTTCATTTCAAATGCTATCATGGGATATTTAGCACCCAATTCTTCCCTCAGGGCCCCAAGTAAATGATATAAAGCCACAATTAAGCAAATAACCTTTTCCTCAAGAGCAAAGCAACATTACATTTACTTGCACTTAGTTTCTTATTAGAAGTCTTCAACATTTTTTGAGGCCATACAATTATAATTTCTGATGGATTTAACATTCCAGTTATTCCCGGCCTTTTTTTTAGAAAACAATGTTCCTTCACTACACAAAAAGCAATTAGTCCTCTCCAGTTGCTCCATTTCCATTTTTTGTTCCATTTCCTGCTTCAGTGCTAAGTGTAAAGGTTTAAAATCTATAACATGCCTATGGTCACCTCACCTATTTCTCGCGACCCCCCCCCCCAATCACCCACGCCTCTGCTCAGCCCTGCCAATGTAAAGCACTCGGAGATGCTATGAAGGACCCTATAATAATTCAAGTTGTTTTCGTTGTTCAGTGATAGCCAGTGTCCAATTTTCATTCACCCCAGTAAGGAAGAAAGAAACTGCATCAAGTTGTCTTAAAAGTGCTTTATAGTAATTGGGTCAAGTATAGTGGGAGCTTTTTTTAAGCAAAACCAGCAGTTATTTTGTGCAACATCTCATAAACAGCCATGATCAGTTAATTTGAAGAATTGTTGGCCAAGACATCTATACAGGCAGATGGAACTTAATTTCAATGTCACTTCATCTCATCTGAAATACAGCACCTCCAACATATTACATTCCCCCAGTATTGAACTTAAATGTCTAGACTATGAATTGCCAAGACTATAAACTATAAAGTCCCAAAGAAGGGCTTGATCATACAGCCTGCCCTCACCGAGACTTGAGCAGTCCTTGCATTTGATATAGCATCTTATCACATTGTTGAAATATACCAAAGCGCTTCACACAGTTTAGTGTAAAGATGTAGTAACTGTATTTTGCAGGATAACAAGGCAATTGATTTGAATTCAGCAATATCCAAAGAACAGCCATGAAGTAAATAAGCAATTTCATTTGGGGGGTTGTTGGCCAGTACATCAGGAGAAACTCTTTTCTCTTTTGAATTGTGCCATGGGATCTTTAACATCCAACTGAACAGGCAGACCTTGGTTTAATGTCCCATTCAAAGCATGGCACTATATTGGAGTGGCAGCATGGACTCAAAATTCAAAGTCTCAATGTGGGGCTCAAACCCACAATCTCTGACTCAGAGGTGAGAGCTGACATTTAATTCATCAACAATTCTTCCACTATTTATTCTTCCAGGAACATTAAATCTTGCTGGTCAGTTAGATTAATTGTCCTCACGTATGAATATATGATCAAAGTAGTTTTTTTCCTCATTTCTTCTCTATTTCATCCTGTGATTCAATGTTGACATGTAAATTGCATGTTGGTTATACTAAGACTTTATTATGCTTTCAAGAATGATTTGCATGATCAATCCAAGAACATTTATTTTATTATTATTATTATTATCAGTAAGCATGTGTTGTGGTTTTTGCCATGCCCAGATACCTCCGTCAACAGCTTTCATTTATCTTCTGCCTTTTTGCTGCACTGCAGCATCACCATCCATGGTTGCACACTCCACCTTGCTAAGCCAGTCCGGAACCTTGGGGTCTTGTTTGACCCTCAACTATCCTTTCTAAACCACATCTGCGCCATGACCCGTTTTGCCTTTCCCCACCTCCACAACATCGCCCGACTCCGCCACTGTCTCACACCACAGGCTGCCAAAACTTCATACATGACTATCTTCATTACATCGAGGCTCGACTATGCAAACTCACTGCTTGTTGGCCTCCCCAACTCCTCCCTCCACAGGCTGTAGATCATCTAGAACTCTGCAGCCATGTCCTCTCCCGCACGAGGCTCGCCGACGCTATCACCCCCATCCTTGTCCAACTCCACTGGCTTCCCATCACACAGAGAATACAGTTCAAGATCCTGGTCCTCACCTTCAGAGCTCTCCACGGTCTTGCTCTCCCTTAATTCTCTGACCTCCTAACCCCCTACCACCCTGATCGCTCTCTCTGCTCAACGGGCTCCGGCCTACTTCACGTCCCCCGCTTTGCTCACCCCGCTATCGGCGGGTGGGCCTTACGCCATTCTGCACCCACCCTCTAGAACTCCATCCCACAGTCCCTCCATCTCATCCCCTCCCTCGCCACCTTCAAGACCCACCTCAAGACCCTCCTCTTCGACCGTGTTTTCGATCTCCTGATTTCCCCCCTGCCCTTGCCCCTCCCCCACTCGGACCTTCAGCTCGGGTCCGTCACTCTGTTTGTCCAGCGTCTTTGGACGTCTTCCCGACATGAAAGGTGCTATAGAAATGTAATTTTGTTGTTGTTTTTCATATATGTTGTGGAACTTTAACTAATCTGCAAAATCAGCAGTTACCTTTCCCCTGCTTTCACTTTCACTTATCGAGCCAGAAGAGAATTTGTAGATTTTGTTCATTTGTCAGCACAATCTGTTTTCTCTTTGACTGCACTGCAGTTTATAAGTTTTATGAGGTTTATAAGCCTTTGACACATGGTCTAGATGTGCCCATAGGACTTGGCAGGTAAGAAGCTGGATGCATAGTTGACAATTTGATATATAATCTTCCACTGTAATAATAATTCAGCAAATATACATGAAGAATGTAGAATCAACAATGTTTACAACAATAACAAGATTACATTGCGCCTTTCATGTCGGGAGGACGTCCCAAGGAGCAGAACAGAGTACAGCATTTCAGACCCAAGCTGGGGTTGGGGGGCGAAGGGAGGGGAGGGGAAGGGGGGGTGGCCGATGGCATGGTCGAAGAGGAGGGTCTTGAGGCGGGTCTTGATGGAGGCTAAGGAAGGGGCGAGGTGGAGTGACTGGGGGATGCAATTCCAGAGGTTGGGGGCAGAGTGGCTGAAGGCTCTCCTGCCAATGATGGGCCAGGTGGGTTGGGGGACGTGGAGCAGGCCAAAGCCGGCTGAGTGGAGGGAATGGACGGGTTGGTAGGGAGTTAGGAGGTCGCAGAGGTAGGGTGGGGCGAGCCATGGAGGGCTTTGCATGTGAGGACCAGGATCTTGAACTGGATCCTCTGAAGGATAGGGAGCCAGTGGAGTTGAGAAGATGGGGTCACGGAGTTTGGTGCAGGAGAGGAGATGGGCTGCAGAGTTCTGGATTATCTGCAGCCTGTGGAAGGAGCAGTTGGGAAGGCCGACAAGCAGATGACAAGCAGTTTACAGCACAGATGGAGGATATTTGGCCCATTGTGTCTGCACTCAAGCTACTGAAGCTATCTCCACTATTTTTATTTCTCTACTGTTTCTCCATAACCTTGAATATTATAATTATAAGTATCTATTAAATTCTCGTTTAAATGCTGTTAAGGACTTGGGGTTCAACAAAAGTGGACAAAATAAAATAGTAAAATAAGTCTTGAAAGGTGAAAGCCCTTCTGCATAAAATCTGTATGAAAGCAACCAACAGTCATATCCTATATATACTGCACATTTCATTGTTCAGAGCAAGGCAATTTGTCGGAAAAAAGAATGGTATAAATCCTATCTGACCAGTGCAATCTAAAGGAAAATCATTGCTGGAGGCCGGCTGCTAAGATCAATTTGCTCACTGTGTTAAGTGCTCCAAATGAAGGGTGTTATATAAATACAAGTTGTTGTTGTTTCCACACCTTCCCTGCAAAGTGCTTTGAGAGCTTATCCTATGTGAAAGGGAGGATTGTTGGTCCTGAATGTATAAACCCGGCAGGTGAGAATGAATTCATCCTTAGCTTTGAATTGGTAGCTTAAAAGCTCTTTGATGATTGAATGCACACTCCCAACTACTTTCAGTGTATCATGCTTCAGTGTAACTTAAACAGCCAATTGTACCACCAGGTCTTTAAATATTAAGGTTAAACTTGTGTTATTTCTTATTAAATTCCTTAATAAGAAACATGTAAGTATTGCATTTCTAAAACAAAGAATGCCGTCTGCAACACAGTTAACATTTATACATTTCTTAATAAGAGTTTTGCATACTCCAAGACAATCTTGGAGGCCAAGGACAACCCAAGGCTCCTCTTCTCCATCACCAACCGGCTCCTCCGTCCACCCTCTCAGGCCTCCCCCACATTCACCTCCAATGCCAACTGCGAGGCGATGCTGGACTTCCTCAAATCTAAAGTTGAGGGGATCCGCTCAGCTGCCTCTGCCCTTCCGTCTACTACACCCTCCCACCTCGGCTCCTAGCCACCCTCCCTCCACACCTTCAAACCTGTCCCCCACTCCTCTCTCACCACAACTATAACCCAGATGAAACCAACCACCTGCTCCCTCGACCCCACCCCAACCCCTCTCCTTACCTCTCAGCTCCACCTCTTTGCCCCTCTACTCACAGACATCATAAATCTCTCCCTGTCCACTGGTACTGTTCCCACTCATTAAAAATCGGCTGTCATGACTGCTATCCTTAAAAAAAAAGCCTCCCTGGACCCATCTCTGCTCTCAAACTACCACCCCATCTCCAACCTCCCTTTCCTCTCCAAGGTCCTGGAACGAGTTGTTACTTGCTAGCTTCGCTCCTTCCTCTCTCGCCCTCCCTTCACGAACCCTCCAATCGGGCTTCCATGTTGCTCACAGTAGAGAAACAGCTCTGGTCAAAGTGACAAATGATATTCTGTCCATCTGCGACAAGGGCTCCCTCTGCCTCCTCATCCTCCTTGACTTCTCTACTGTCTTCAACACCGCTGACCACTCTATCCTCATCCAGCTCCTCTCCATTCAACCTTCATGGTTCTGTCCTTGACTAGTTCAGATTGTACCTCCCACACCGCCACCACTTCATCTCCACAAATGGTTTCTCCTCTAGCCCCTGGACCGTCTCGTGCGGTGTTCCTCAGGGCTCTGTCCTTGTTCCCCTCCTCTTCAATATCTATATGCTCCCTCTTGGTGACATCATCCACAGACATGGGGGCAACTTCGACATGTATGCGGATGACACCCAACTGTATCTCTCTGCCTCCACCCTTGACTCTAGGACCACTCTCAGACATCAAGTCCTGGATGAGAGATAACTTTCTTCAATTGATTGTCACCAAAACTGAGGCTCTCCTGATTGACTCCAGTCAGTGCCTCCACATCTCAGGCACTTACAACATCACCATCCATGGATGCGCACTCTACCTTACTAAGCCAGAACCTTGGCTTCTTGTTTGACCCTCAACTATCCTTTCTACCCTACATCTGTGACATGACCCGCTCTGCCTTCCTCCACCATTGCAACATCGCCCAGCTCTGCCACTGTCTCACACCATAGGTCGCTGAAACCCTCATACACGCATTCATAACATCCAGGTTGACTATGAAAACTCCCTGCTTGTCGACCTCCCCAACTCCTCCCTCCAATAGGCTGCAGATCATCCAGAACTCTGCAGCCCATGTCCTCTCCTGTACCAGACTCCGTAACCCTATCACCCCCATCCTTGCCCAACTCCACTGGGTTCCCATCACACAGAGAATACAGTTCAAGATCCTGGTCCTCGCCTTCAAAGCCCTGGATGGCCTTGCTCCCCCTTACCTCTGCGATGTCCTAACCCACTACCATCCTGCCAGCTCTCTCTGCTCAGTGGGCTCTGGCCTGCTTCACGTCTCCACCTCGCCCACACCACCATTGGCCGGTAGGCCTTCCACCACTCGGCCCCCATCCTCTGGAACTGCATCCCACAGTTCCTCCACTTCATCCCCTCCCTCGCCTCCTTCAAGACCCATATCAAGACGCCCCTCTTCGACCGTGCTTTCGATCACCCTCCTTCCCCTACTTCCCTCCACCCTCCCCAATCCCGACCCCCAGCCCTGAAACACTGACTGTCCAGTGCCTTGGGACGTCCTCCTGATGTGAAAGGCACTTTACAAATGTAATTTTGTTGTTGTTGTAATACCACAAATTAAACTCCAATATTTTCAAATCCAACACCTACTATTGGATTTCTGCACATACGGCACTGAGCAAAGATTTACAACAACAACAACAAGATTCCATTCATAGAGCGCCTTTCACGTCGGGAGGACGTCCCAAGGCGCTGTACAGTTGGGTCAGGACCCGAGCAGGGGGGAAATGGTCAGGGTGAGGGGAGGGAAAGGAGGGAGTGAGGAGGGGGTAGAGAGTCGAGAGGGGAGCTGAAGACACGGTCGAAGAGAAAGGTCTTGAGACCGGCCTTGAAGGAGGAAAGGGAGGAGGCGGCGAAGGCACTGGGGGATGGAGTTCCAGAGCTTTAGAGTTAGATGCTGAGCATTCCACTCCAGTATTAGTGCAGCATAGAGTGAATGGTTCTAACATGAGAAAGAAATGTTCAATGAAGAAAAAGTGAAATTGTCTATATGATTTGATAATACCTGAAAATCTGTAGCTATGACAAAAAGTAATAGACTTCTCATGGATGCGGATCCCAAATGCACCGAACATCTGTGTTCCAGGAGATTACTTATTCTTCTGCAGTTCCAACCACAAGACAGATATCTGCCAGTTGCTCTCAAGGTGAATGGTCGAGACTGGTGGAGTGCTTCTATAAATGGTAAAACTCCTATAAAAGGTAAAGCTCCTATAAAATGTAAAAAATTTTTTTTGCCAAGGTCAGTAAATTATTGACAAGAACAAGTGCCAATCTACTTTTCCAAACAGATCGCATATTTTAAAGGCTAATAGCAATGCTTTGTCTGTAAAGTAAGTATCTCAATCCCAACCGCCACATACTCAAACATTAGATGTTTTCTACCTCTCACATCAGCCAGCCTCGAAGAGAGATTGGAAGTTTAATGCCAATTAATCCAAGTTAATCCCAGCATGTATTTTACACTGTTAAATTTGTAGAATCTATTGAAATTCATTTTATGTGGGATAATAATAATAATCCTTACATTTGATATAGTGCCTTATCACGTCTTCGAGATTGGGCAAAGCTGTGGCAGATGGAGTTCAATGTAAAGAAGTGCGAGGTCATCCACTATGGTCCGAAAAAAGATAGGGCAGAATACTTTCTTAACAGGGAGAAATTAAGAGCCGTGGAAGAGCAAAAATATTTGGGTGTGTATATCCACAAATCACTAAAAACTAGTTCCCAGGTGCAAAACATAATCAAAAAGGCAAATGGTATATTGGCCTTTATCTTGAGAGGCCTGGAATACAAAGGGGAAGAAATGATGCTTTAGCTGTATAGAGCGTTAGTCAGACCCCACCTGGAGTACTGCGTTCAGTTTTGGGCACCAGACCACAGGAAAGATATATTGGCCCTGAAGAGGGTGCAGCGCGGTTCACCAGAATGTTACCAGGCCAAAAAGGGTTAAGTTACGAGGAAAGGCTGCGTAAACTTGGATTGTATTCCCTCGAGTTTAGAAGAATGAGGGGTGATTTGATAGAGGTTTTTAGGACGATAAAGGGATTTGATCGGTAGATGCAGAAAAGCTATTTCCTATGTTGGGGGAATGCAAAACAAGGGGGCATAGTCTTAAAATTAGAACCAGACCATTTAAGAGTGAAATCAGGAAGCATTTTTTCACTCAAAGAGTGGTAGAAATCTGGAACTCTCTCCCCCAAACGATCGTGGATGCTGGATCCATCCACACCTTCAAGAAAGAAATTGACAGATTTTTGGTGGGTCGGAGTATTAAGGGATATGGGGAGAAAGCGGGAAATTGGATTTGAAATTCTAGTAAAGATATAGATCAGCCATGATCTAGTTAAATGTTGGAACAGGCTCGACAGGCTGAATGGCCTACTCCTGTTCCTATGTTCCTATGTTCTTATGTCTCAAAGTTCTTCACAGAATATACTGTAAAGTGTAGTGACTGTATATTTTGTGGGTGAGACTGTATATATGTTTGTATTCGGCCTCAATCTGCTGGATGCAAACTCAGAGCCCAAAGCAAAAAAAACACGTGTCTCTTCCAACAACCAGTAAAACATCCAATTGCCCTGTTTTTCTCATTGTGGTATGCACTCCTCCTAAAGTCTGAAGAGGCAGAATTAATTCAAATGTTTTAAAGATGCAAAATTGGGAGGAGTGTGAAGGAGTGTGGGAAAAGGTGGAGAAATGGGATCAAAAGATCTGCTATGACCTAATATACAGGCAATTCACTTTACAGTATACAGTATTCTGTGAGGCTTTTTGAGACTTCTCAAAGATGTGATAAGGCGATATACCAAATGTACTATATTAATAACAAACTGACAAAACAGTCTTGAAAGGCCTCCTCCAGGTTCTTTGTTTTCTATGAACAATGAGACTGCAACTAACATTCTGTGACTCTTGTCATTGGTGATATTTCAATGAAAGTATTGTTTGAACCAAACTTTTTTCTTTCTTTCCCTTTCACAGCACAGCTCTAGTTAGTTTGGGCTAAGGATTACAAGTTTTGTGAATTTATGACAATTACAGCAAGTAAACAATGCTTTGGATTGCCTTGCTGGAAAAAAATATCATTCAGTGCATGTTGTATTATTAATATTATATGAGCAATGCTTTTCTTTAATTTATTTTATGGTAGTAAATGAATCTTAAGCATGCCCAGGCCTTATGTAACATAATCAGATGTAGAGTAAAGCTCCTCCGCTCTAGTTTAACAATGGGCAGATTTATTCTGTGGATTTACAGTCTCTAGAACAGGTTGAGACTGTTAAACATGGAACATTTACAGATGTCAGTGAGAGGCCAGTACCATCCCATCAGTCTAAGGCTAGATTCACATCCAGCTCCCAGAGGAGAAACAACCACCTTTTTTATTTAGCTCAACACAACATATACTCAGCCTCACAATAACTGAAAGACTTTATGTATGTGTTTAGGTTTTTAGTCTCACAGAATGAAACAATTACTTCTCAGAATAGATCAAGTTGTAAACTGGGATTTAGTTTGCTAACTGGAAGGTGTGAAGTTACAGTGGGGTTTGACTCTTGAATGTAATGAATACACTGTTTGCTTTAATGTTACTCTTTGGTAGTATATTTTTGCAGAGGAGCAGATAGGATTGTTTGCTAAACAAATGATTTGTACTTTCAGCCATGGCAACAAAACAATGTTTGAAATTCATTTTTTTCTATAATATTAAAGTAAAAATTGGAGTCTGTGATTTTCTGCATATGGATGGGGTGGAGGGGAGGAGAGAGGAAATGGGTGGGGTGGGATGGGCTTGGAGCCAGCAAAAGACATCCAGCTACTCTGGAGTTCTGTTTGACCTGGCAGAAGCAGTAGAGAAAAAAGTATTGCAGAGGTGGACTTCTTGTGGCTGGGTTATCGCACAGCAATCAGAGTTAATATCACGGATGAAGATTATGTGGGACAGATGTTCGGCGGTATTGCTTGATTTGTCTTGGGGAGTGAGGGAGGGCCAGGGAAAAATGTTGCAGAACTCAGGAGATTACTCTTATTGGGTGAAGGACATGACAGAGTACATTGTGCACAGGCTGAACAGGGATCAGATTCATTGGGCCAAATGACCTTGCTCATTGCTTGCTTTCTTAAAGGCGTTTTGTAGAACCCATCACCACACTTACGAGTATCCAAACCAGAATCAGAGGTCCACATATACATTCTGCCTATGCATGGAAATGTCCCTGTGTTTAGAACAGAATGTATACTCCCTCTCTGGAGGGACACATCCTGCTGGCTTAAATCCAGAGAGTATAAGGCACAAGTTGGCAAAAGCCACAGCGAATGATTTGGAGTACTTCTGGAGTGAAGAAACAAACAAGAGAGGAAAATATCCTTACATTCGGCATCGCCTTGGGAAGTCCTCCCGAAGTGGAAGGAGCTATGTAAATGTAATCTTGTTGTTGTTGTTGTATCCTTTCATGTCATTAGGCAAAAAGTGTGATGACTGTGTACCGTATAGATGAGAAGGCATCCAAGAAGATACTTTGGTAACAGCTTTAAGGATATCATGAGATAAACATTGTGTTGCATATACTGAAATTATAGTTTGACTGCATTCTAAACAACAACAAGATACAAAAGACAGTATAGCAGAGAGACATCTTTAAAAAAATTCTGCTAGAGATACTACTTAACCCCAGTGCAAGAGCCTTAAGACAAGAGGATTGAATTGTGAACCAGCTTTTTTTTCCCCAAAGTTACTGTCAATGCCGTTCAGTGATTTGTTGATTGGTTAAATTTAACCATTTTCTCTTCTCTTAGATCACTGCTATTCAGATTAGCAATTAGGGTAACAAACTGATCACATCCGCCCAAATGGTGCAAACAACCTTAAATGGTGGGCAGGCCTGGGACGCCAACTTGTTGCCTTCTGCTTGGGAGTGCAGAAAACAGCCCCTCGAGAGATGCAAGTTAAATTAAAAGATTTCACATTCTTTAATAAACTTGTTTGAACCTCTGCTCTGTTTCTTGGCAAGTGCCCTGGAAGTGTAATATCAGCTTCATTTCACAAACAGATGTTCACGGATTTCAGCTCCCAGGGCATCTTGTCACTGGAATCCGCCAGCAAGAGGTTGATTTGATTTTTAAACCACTCCACTGCGTGTAACACAACAACAACAACTTGCATTTATATAGCGCCCTCCATGCCAGGCGGCGTCTCATATTAACAATATGGAGCCTGAGGCCGAGCCAGGGGGAGGGAGAAGGTGACCATAGGCGCAGTCGAACAGGAAGGATTTCAGGCTCGACCTGAAGATGGGGAAGGAGGGGACGAGGCGAAAGGGTTGAGGGAGGGAGTTCCAAAGTTTTGGGGCCTAGTGGCTGAAGGCACGGCCACCAATAGTGGGGCAGAGGATTCGGGAGACATGGAGGAGGCCGGACCCAGTAGAGCAGAGGCAGCGGTTACTGCTGTGGGGAGAGAGGAGGTTAGAAAGATAGGGGGTGCCAAGGCATGGAGGGATTTAAACACTAGAGTGAGGATCTTGCAGTCAATCCACTCTGTGACAGGGAAGAAGACCTTGGGGAAGAAGAATGTTGTATCTTGGTAAGGGGGCAGGGTGGCGTGTGGGAGAAGCGCGATAAGTCTCACATTCATTTCATTATTACTATTTTTTTTGCTTTCACACATGTGAAAGGAATATAAATTGTAGCTTAGAGTCTTTGCAAATTATATATATTCACCAAATCAAATATATCCGGCATAAACTGTTTGTGGGCTTAGTGGTGAATATTGACATAGTAACTTCACAGTTTCAGTGGTAGTTGGCAAGCTCCACACTATCACTATCACTGCACCCATTTCATTTGTAAGCACAGAATGTTGAGTAGAGATTAGACTACTAAAATCAATGTTGGACGCATTAATTTCCCAATTTGTCCTTTCTAGCTATACTCTTTCAATTCTTTTCTCTGTATAATATTTCTGAAATGGTTATTATTATTATTATTATTATGGTGTCAGCCTGGCTCAGTTGGTAGCACTCTTGCCCCTGAATCAGAAGGTTATAGATTCAATGCCCATGTCGAAAGTTTGAGCTCATAGCCCAGGGCATAGGCTGACGCACAAATCCAGTACTGGGACACCGCTACATTGTCAGAGGTGCTGTCCTTCAGATGAAATGTTAAACCAATGTATTTTCTGTATATTCAGGTGGATGTTAAAGATCCTAATGCACAATTTTGACAAGAGTAGGGAGATTCTCCCTGTGTCCTAGCCAACAATCTTCCAGCCAAAAAAATGATCGTTCACTTCATGGCTGTTTGTGGGACACTGATATGCAAAAAAAGGACTGCTACATTTGCTTATAAATACACTTCTCTAAACTGTATAGTAAATCATGTGAAGCATTTTGAGATGCTTTGACAACTTGCTATGGTGCACTATCAAATGCAAGGATTATAGTGTTATAATGGTCTATTGCACCCAAATAAGGCCTGGTATATTATCTGTAGACTCTTTGTCATGGGCCTTAAGAATGTGCATTTTTGATTGGCTCAATAGCTCTGAATAAAACAAGGCTCTCCCTTGAGTGCAGATTTCAGGACTGAAATATTGATCTGGAAGTAAACCTCTTATACTGGTTTCCACATTGTGAACAGGGAAAATGTTATTTTGTCCCCTTAATGATGATACAGTGGCATTAACTACAATATCCATGAAGTATAGTCAGAGTCCAGAGACTTCAGGGGTGTCATTTGCAGTATTTCTTAAGAAATGTGTTAATATTCAACTTAGAATTAATTCTTCAGCACATTCAATGTTTTAGGAATGTGATAATTACACATTTCATATTTAGAAACCGGTTATGAAATTGTTACGAAACAACGTAAATTAAATCTAAGTAAGAGACTAGAGGTCAGAAGTTCCACCTCTTCTTAGCCTGTAAGATCATAAAATCATCAGTTGTAGAAATGAACAGAACAAAGGGAGGCCATTTGGCCCATTGCATCTGCACCAGTTTGCAGAGCAAGCTGTTAATTCAATCCCACTGCCCTGCCTTATCCCCATATCCTTTCAAACCTCTATTCTTCATATACCTGTCCAGTGCCTTGGGACATTCTCCTGACATGAAAGGCGCTATATAAATATAATTGCATTGTATGTGGATTCCTGTAGCTCAGTGGTTAGAGCACTCGCCTCGCAAGCGAGAGACCTGGGTTTGATTCCCAGCAGAGTGAAACCTTGGACAAGTTTCCTCACTCCATATGCCTGATAATAATCCCTCAAGAAAAAAAAATGTTGTCACTCAATCCATGTCTGTTTGTGGGACACTGCTGTGCGCAATTGGGTGCCGCGTTTTGTCCACAAATATACAGTCAATTAACTTTACAGTATATTCTCTGAAGCGCTTTGAGACGTCTAAAAGATGGGAAAAGCGCTATATCAAATGCAAGGATTATTATTATTTGTTGTTGTCTCTGCATCTCTGCATCCACTACATTAACTGTCAGGGCATTCTACATCCCAATAACTCTCTGCGTGAAAAACAATTCTCCAAAGCTCTCCGTTTGCTCTTCTTGTAGCTATGTCTCCCAGTCACTAATCTTATAACTATGTCCCCTAGTCACTGACTTATCTATCAGTGGAAAAGCTTCTTCCTATTTACCCTGTCAAAATCTCTCATAATTGTACACCTCTCTTAGGTCCCCTCCCAAACTTCCCCACTTCTCAAGTGCATGTTAAAAATCCCATTGCACGATTCATAGGAACATAAGAATATAAGAGTCTGTTCTGCCATTTATTTAGATCATGGCTGATCTGTACCTCAACTAATTCAAAAAGTGAAGGGAGTTTCTCCCAGTGTCCTGGCCAACAATATCTCAATAGCATTAGTTATTCACTTTATGGCTATCATGGGACACTGCTGAGTATAAATTGGCTGCCGCATTCACCCACGAAACATACATGCACTCCACTTTGAGATGTCCTCCCAATGTGGAAAGGTGCTTTACCAAATGTAAGGATTATTATTGTATAGTCCTGTAGCTTAGTTGTTAGAGCGCTCGCCTCGCAAGCAAGAGGACCTGGGTTCGATTCCTGGCAGGGTGAAACAAGTTTCCTTACTCCACACGCCTCTGTTTACCTAACCGGCTGTTAATCGATTGGCAGATTGCTTTTTTGGGAATAATAATTCCTTAAACAAATTCTGCGAAGCGCTTGGATACATCTCGAAGACGTGATAAAGCGTTATTTTCAATGTAAGAATTATTATTATTACTGTATGAAGGAGGAAATTTACGGTACGTGATAATATTCTTTTTCACCCACGAAAATTATCATTGGATAACGTCAATTATTTACATATTATGTATGAATATTAAACCACATTCTCACCAGCTGAAGGGCTTTCTATCATATTTCTAATCCCGAATCATTCTATGCTTCGCTTCAGGGTGAATGTAGATTTAGTAACTTTTATCAAAATACCTTTGGGGCTCAACACAGCTGTAAAATAATTTTCTGACAGCATATTTCATCTAGTTACAGAGATAAATCCAAAAAATTAATATGTTGAAAACTAATGGGAAAAAAATGAGTGCCTTTTCGACATTTGTGAATCCTGCTTCCCTATTCATTGAAGGAATTGTTAACACAGCAGTTTCTTTTAATAAAAGACATGTGTAAAAAAAACTGCGAGTCTTTGTTAAAGGCATCAATGTGTGTACAATAATGCCAGATAGTTCTGCAATACAGCCAACTCATCTGAAAAGCAAGCTGCATCCGTATTGCAATTCCCCTACAACCTCTACGTACACTTTATTTATAGAATTGTATTGTTTTGTCAGAACAGTATTATAGAAATACACAACCAAATATCTCAACAGGAGATGCAATCTGCTGGAGGCTGAAGCTTTTAGTCTGTGGCATTGCTTACTGAGAAGCAAAACTGCGTTGCGGAAAGAAAAAGAAGGAGCTGTTTGGGATTCACTTATTTAGCTGAGAGCATTCATTTCCGCTGAAACAAGCAGCTCTTTGTAGATTTAGTCAGTGGGCTTCCGAAAGCACTAAAAACTGCTGCTGTAAGCTTTGTGCTTGTGTGGTCAAGGTTACTGTCTGTAGCAGGGTGGTTACCATAGAAGAAAAAAAGGTTCCACATTGCAGTTGAATTGAATTTCAAGAATATGTGTCATCCTTTCAGATTTAATGGAACTCTGGAGAGAACACATTTTTTTAAACAAAGACTAATACCCCCCTCGCTACAATACCAAACTTTTTGAATGCAGGATTTTAGCTTACACAACAGGTTCTTGATTATTTCTGGTGTTTTTCTGGCTATGTATCCCTGGACAGAAGCTTGAAAGCTTCAGAAACTACTTTGTCATACAAATATAGCTTAAGGATATATAAAAGATTTTAGTTTTCAACACTGGGAAAGCTCAAGAAGGCAAGAATGGCTTTATTTATCTAACACTCGTAAAACTTTACTATACATTTCTGATTATGTGAATTATAAAGCAGAATTTGACAATTGTAATGCAAAATATTCTCTGAGTAAATTTGGGTAGCTGTGTGACTTGCTCAATTATTTTCTCTTTTTTCACCCAGAAAAGACCCTATTTGGTCAAACAGGCTGTCGTGCTAATGTTGCAAAACTCAAAAAAAACTGCCCACAGGACACTCTGCCAAGGTAGTCATTAAAGAGTGAGACTTCTCCTGAGCTATTTTGTTAAAGTATGTCATTTGGAGATTGCCAAGAATCTACTTTCAAAAAAATATTGTCCTCTCTAAAGAAAATTGTAATTCTACATAACCGATTATTCAGTTACACTTTACATTAGCTGAGAGCTAGGCTTAATCCTTGCAGGAGACATGCATTTAGAAATGTAATTTTTTTTTGGTGATTCCAGGTGCCAACCTGTGATAAATAGAGGGTACGTTACATGGCTAACAGCGTGAAAGAGGAGAGGAGAACACATTTTCATGAATAAACATTCTGCCAGATGGTAAGTAGACATGAGTTCTACAGCTCCTAATGAGATAGAAATGAGAAATTTGTATTTTGAGCCTCCCTGTTAAGAGGAACTCATACCCTGAGGGAAAGTCAGTTTTCTGAGATATTGAGAGGATTAATGTGTAACACTATTAGTGCCAAGGACAACATGGGTAAAGAGTAAAAATTAGCATCTACATTTTTCAAGGAACAAGATGAATTGTCAGTTGAGGTAAAGTGACAGAGCATTCTGTATCTCTTGAACTTTCATAGTTTGGATGATTTGAGACACTTGACAAGGCTCCAAGAACTCAATGATGTGAAGGCAAAGCGACATCAAGTCAGAGGGAAAAGACAATGGTAAAAGGCAGAAGATCCTAGAAATAAAACTACCAATTAAAAGGCTGGGAAACTTGGATTACATCCTCTAGAGCTGAGCAGGTTAAATAATTCTTTGTAAAAATACTTGTATTTCATATAGTGCCTTTCACATTGGAAGAATGTCTCAAAGAACCTCACAAGATATACTGTAAAGTGGAATGACTGTATATTTTGTAAGCAAACATGGCAGCCAATTTGCGCACAGCAGTCCCACAGACTGCCACCATTTGGAGGGCGCAATAAATAAAGCTGTGGTAATGTACAGTATGTGTGAAATTCTGAAGCCTTTCTTTTGTGGGAAAAATAACATCAGTACCATAAAACTTCAACTGGACCATGTTAACTGCTTGGTAACAACTCACTGTTAGTTTACTCAGTGATTACTGAGCAGCTTTCACAGGGTAGAAGGAAAGTGGCCAAAGGCACAGTCAAAGAGATCAGGTTTTAAGTGGGCAATGATCTGACAGAGCTTGGTACAGGAAGAAAGGCAGGCTGCAATATTCTTAAAGATATGGAGCTTGTGGAGGGAAGAGCAGGGGAGGCTGGTGAGCAAGGTACTGGAGAATTCAAGGTTGAATATGGCAAAGTTATGGTTGAAGATTTCAGCTCCATTGGTGATGGAGGCGAGCAATTTTGCAATGATGCAGGAAAGCAGATTTGCTCAGAGCGAAGATGAAAGCTTTGGAGGAGAGTTCAAGGTCGAATAAAATACTGAAATTCTGTACTGGATGCATCAGCTGGAATGTGCAATCAGGAAGAACATTACAGTCAGTTCCTGAGTTGAGGAGGTGCTGCCATTTGTTGAGCAAAATAGCCTCGGATTGTTGACATTGTTGGGAGGAAGTTGAGGCTCATCCAGGACTTGATATTGACAGGCAGTCTATCAGAACAGCAGTGGTGCTGCAATCAAGGGTGGAGAGAGAGAGGTTGAGTTGGATGTCATCAGCACACATATGGATCTGGCCGCCATGTCAGAGAATGACATCACTAACATGCGGAAAAGGAAAAAACCAAGATGGATCTCTGAGGAACGCTTCATGTGACAGTGCAGAGGGCAGGAATAGAAACTGATGGAGATGTAGTGCCAACCCTGAGACAGATAGGAGTGAAACCCGGAAAACACAAAGCCAATACGTACGAGGAAAGTCACATAAGAACATCAGAATTAGGAGCAGGAGCAGGCCATTCGGCCCCTTTAGCCTGCCTCGCCATTCAATAAGTTCATGGTTGATCTGTTCTAACTCCACCTACCCGCCTTATCCCCATATCCCTTAATCCCTTTATCCACAAGAAATCTATCAATCTCAGTATTGAATATGCTCAAGGACTGAGCATCTACAGCCCTTTAGGGTAGAGAATTCTATAAATTCACTACCTTCTGAGTGAAGAAGTTTTTCCTCAACTCAGTGCGAAAGTGCTTACCCCAAATTTTGGAACTGTGACCCCTGGTTATAGTTTCTCCAACCAGGGGAAAAAGTCTCCCACTATCTATTCTGTGCAGCGCCTTGGGACGTCCTCCTGACGTGAAAGGCGCTCTATAAATGGAATCTTGTTGTTGTTGTTGTTGTTGTTGTCGTGCCCCTTAATAATTTTATAGGTTTCTATAAGATCACCTCTCATTCTTCTATATTCTAAAGAATATAGGCCTAAATTGCTCAACCTATCCTAACTCATCCCCCTCATCCCAGGTATCAACCTGGTGAATCTACGTTGTACCCCCTCCAAGGCGAGTACATCCTTTCTTAAATAAGGACACCAAAACTGCACACAATACTTTAGGTGCAGTCTTACCAGGGCCCTATACAGTTGCAGCAAGACTTCCCTACTCTTATATTCTAACCCTTTTGTAACAAATGCCAACATACCGTTAGCCTTCCTAATTGCTTACTGTACCTGCAAACTAACGTTTTGTGACTGATGTACAAGGACACTTGTCCCTCAGAATGCTAACACTATCTAGTCTCTCCCTTTCTAAAAAATAATCTGCTCTACTGTTTTTGCCACCTAGGTGAATGACCTCACACTTCCCGACATTATACTTCATCTGCCACCTATTTGCCCACTCACCTCACCTATCTATATCTTGTTGCATTTTTTAATGTCATCCTCGGTGTTTGCTCTCCTTCCTAGTTTAGTGTCATCCGCGAATTTGGATATATTAAGTTTGATGTCCTCATCTAGATCGTTGATGTAGATTGTGAATAGTTGAGACCCAAGCACTGATCCTTGTGGCACTCCACTAGTCACATCCCACCAAACTGAGAAGGACCCGTTTATTCCAACTCTTTATTTTCTTCCCGTTAGCCATTCTTCAATCCATGCTAATATATTCCCCTTAATTCCATGGGCCCCAATTTTGTGGATCAACCTTTTATGCGGCACCTTATCGAATGCCTTTTGGAAATCTAAATACACTACATCCACTGATTCCCCCCTATCTAATCTACTTGATATGTCCTCAAAAAAATCTAAAAGATTTGTTAAGCATGACTTCCCTTTTGTAAAGCCATGTTGACTCTGCCTCATCATATTGTGATCCTCTAAGTATCCCACTACGACGTCCTTAATTAAGGATTCTAGAATTTTCCCTACCACCGATGTCAGTCTAACTGGTCTATAGTTCCCTATCTTTTCTCTCCCACCCTTTTTAAATAGTGGTGTGATGTTTACGATCTTCCAATCAATGGGAACTGTTCCAGAATCCAAAGAATTTTGGAAGATCAGGCACAAGGCCTCCACTATCTCATGAGCTACCTCTTTTAAAACTCTAGGGTGTAGACCATCAGGTCCAGGGGACGTGTCACTTTTTAATGCCAACAATTTTCCTAGCACCAATGCTTTGCTAATGTAAATGTCTGTAAGTTGCTCCCTATCATTAGCCCCTTGGTTCATCTCTATTTCTGGTAAACTTCTTGTGTCTTCTAACACGAAGACAGAAGCAAAGTTTTTATTTAGGGACTCTGCCATATCCTTATCCCCCATTATGATTCCTTCTGTCTCTGCCTGTAATGGACCCACATTTACTTTTGTTAGCCTATTCCTCTCAATGTATTTATAAAAACTCTTACAATCTGTCTTAATGTTCCTAGCTAGCTTGCCCTCATAATTCATTTTCTCACCCTTAGTGAGCTTTTTGGTTTTCCTTTGTTGGTCCCTAAAACACTCCCAGTCCTCAGGTTTGCTACTCTTTTTGGCAGCTTTGTAGGCCTTTCTTTTAGTTTTATACTTTCTCCAACTGCTCTAGTTAGCCACGGATGAACTGCTATCCCTGTGGTACTCTTATTCCTCAATGGAATATGTGACAGCTGAGAATTTTGCACTACATCTTTAAACGTTTGCCACTGTTGGTCTATTGTCATATATTAATCTAATTCCCCAGTTTATTTTAGCTAATTCTTCCCTCATACCTGCAAAGTTAGCTTTATTTAAATTTAAGACCCTTGCTTCAGATTTGACTACATCACTCTCTAACTTAATGCTAAATTCTATCATATTATGATCACTCTGCCCTAGAGGAGCCTTAATATCTATATTACTGACTCGCCCTGTTTCGTTACACAAAACAAGGTCTAGGATGATCTGTCCCCTAGTTGGTTCCTCAGCATACTGCTCCAGAAAGCTATCTCTCATACACTCTATAAACTCCTCCTCTTTTGCCGATTTGGTTTTCCCAATCTATGTGAAGATTGAAATCACCCACTATTACTGGATTACCTTTGCTACATGCTGCTTTAATTTCCTGATTAATACTCTTCGCTATGCTGTGATCACTGTTCGGGGGTCTATAAACTACTCCCACTAATGTTTTCTGCCCCTTGTTATTTTGTAATTCTACCCATACCGTCTCTACATCTTGGTTATCTGATTTGAAATCTTTCCTCTCTACTGTTTTTATTCCATCCTTTATTAACAAGGCTACACCCCCACCTTGTTTTCCACATCATTTATCTTTCCTATAAGCTGAAAACCCCGGAATATTTAACTCCCACCCTAGATCTCCCTGTAACCATGTCTCAGTAATGGCTACTAGATCATACCTATTTGTATCTATCTGTGCCTTTAATTCATCTACTTATTCCGAATGCTTCGTGCATTCAGATATAGCGATTTTAATTTCTTACCATTTCCCCTACTTTCTGATGCCCTATCTTCTTTACTGAGCTTCTTACCCCTCTTTGACCTATTCTGTTTATCTCTCTCGCTATTCTGTTCTGCCACCTTTAGTTTTCTTAATACTGCTGGCTTGCGATTATTTCTAATTGTATCCCCCCCCTTTATTAGTTTAAAGCCTTATTTATCTCCCTATGTATTCGTTTGCTAAGACGTTTGTCCCAGCCCGATTTAAGTGGAGCCCATCTTTTTGAAATAGACCTCTTTTCCCCCAAAACTGGTGCCAATGGCCCATAAAATGAAACCCCTGCATTCCGCACCACTCCCTCAGCCATGCATTTAACTCTTTAATTTCCTTTTTCCTGTACCAATTTGCACATCCTGATATCACTACCTTTGATGTTCTTTGTTTTAATTTAGTTCCCAACTCCTTGAACTCCCTCCTCAAATCATCACTACTAACCCTACCTATGTCATTGGTACCTATGTGAAGTACCACCAATGGATCCTCGCCCTCATGTTTCAGATTCTTCTCCAGCCCTGCCGAGACGTCCTTCACCTCGGCCCTAGGAAGGCAACAGAGCCTTCGGGTCTTCTGGTTGCGGCTGCAGATAAGCGTATCTGTCCGCCTGATAGTCTCGTCCCCAATCACTACAACTTTATGTCTGTTTCCCCTAATGGGAAGAAGGGAGTGGTCAGTGGTGTCAAAGCAGCGGAGAAACTGTGAAGGACCAGGAGGCACAGGAAGCCTTGGACACAGGCAGAGAGGATGTTGCAAGTGATTTTGATCAGGACTGTCTCAGTATTGTGGTTAGGATGGAAGCCACATTTATGATAATCATATGATAGATGAGGAAAAGAAGGAGCAAAATTGGGAGGCAATGACATGTCCCAGCACCTTGGAGAAGAAGTGAATATTTCGAGTGGTATCATTATTCACACTTTCATATTGGGAAAAAAAAGCATGTTTTGCACAAAAAATTCACATTCATAGAATGCTAGCAGTTGACAGCACTGATAATGATCCACCATAATTTATAAGAAATTGTAGTCTGTTGGGTGAACACAGGTGAAGCACATGCTGAAACTATATTCCGCCATAAAATAAAAATAGTTATTTACTGGATATGAGGAATATAACACACAGCAATTTGATCCTAAAGAAAGACAAATAGTCAAGGAAGAAGATGAAGGAATGTACTGATAAGACAAGCCATATTTAAAAAAAGTCAGAGATGAAGGAAAATGTTTTAGCCTTGATGAATACAATATACCATGACTTACACCGTGTGTTAAAAAGATCAGCTGTCACTGCAGGATGAGATGGGAAAATGGTGTGTTACAAATTAAAGCTGATGTGATTGACATAAGGGATTCAAAAGATGATGAAAATAGTAATAATACTAGGATTGATATTGGACCTTAATACGTTGAAATACCTCAAAGGTTTGAGTTACAACAAAGCATGTGACTGTTATGTAGGCCAACGCAACAGCCACACTAAGCCAGCAATACCCTGTAAGCAATAATGAAACAATTGGCCAAATGTAATCAGGATTGGTTTGTGAACTTCTGAAGCTTTATATGAAGACCTGAATGATTAAGATGTAATACACAACACTTGCCTACAAAATTTACACAGTCACTACACTTTGCAGTATATCCTGTGAAGTGCTTTACGACATCCCCTTCGATTTGAAAGGTCCTATACCCAATGCAAGAATTATTATAACAGTTTGATACTTGGCATTCAAACTGGCACATAGTTCTCAAGGCATGTGAATGAAACAAAAACTTGCTTTTTATACAGCGTTTTATTACTTCAGAGAATTCTTCATAAATAATTACGTCACGTTTAGTGACTGTTATTGTAAGTTGCCTCAGGACATTCTACACATAAGCAACAACTTGTGTGTATGTGTGTGTATAGGAAGTGATTGTAGGCAAGATTGAGGAGGTAGATTTGCTTGTGTTTTCTGAAGACAGATGGAGAGGCTGGGAAGGTTGCGGAAGTCAGCATTTTATTTTATATACTTCAATGCACCCTCAACAGGTGAGGCTTATGTTTCTTTAATCCTTTACCTCTTTATACTCAGGATTGATTAGTCTTGTTGTTCCTTTCTATATCTTTCTATTGCAGGTATATCTTATCTCCGTGGCATGACAACCAAAATTGAACAAGGTATTTTACTTGTGGTCTGGCAAGTGCATTGGAAAGTGAAAGCATAACTTCTGTAGATTTGTATTCCTCTTCTCTGGCTGTATTCTAGCATTCTCTTAGTTTTTCAAATGGCAGCACTGCATTGTTTGGACATTCAAAGTGACGTGTCTAATATTACTCCCTAGTTCCTTTATTGATCATTCTCTGAAGGTTTGCAGCTTTACAGTGAAGCTGCTGTCAACAAAGATAATCAAATACAAGATTACATGTTGAGGGCACCTGACAATAAGTCAAAATAAGTTATTCTAACCTTGTTTAAATCACTTGTGAAGTTATTTATAATATTCTAAGCTACAGGAGTCCAGTGGTTTAGTGGTTAGAGCACTCACCTCACAAACCAGAGGACCTGGGTTCGATTCCCGGCAAGGCAAAACATTGGGCAAGTTTTCTTACTCCACATGCCTCTGTTTAGCTAACAATAAATGGTTGTTAGTCGATTGTTGGATTGCTTTTCCCGGGGGTAATAATCCCTTAAAATAAATAAGTAATTTGGTCACTCAATCCACGACTGTTTGTGGGACACTGCTGTGCACAATTGGCTGCCGCGTTTCACCCACAAAATAGTCTTGAAGACCTGAAAAGGCACTATATCAAATGCAAGGATTATTATTATTATATTAGGGATCTAATGTGGGGTCTAATAACATAAGAACATAAGAAATGCTAGACAAAAAAGGCCAAGATCCAACTAGCTCGCCTTCCACCTTCCTGGCGGTCGCATGCATATATGTCCCAAACTATCTATGTACTATATCCCATAATGTTATTTCCTAAATGAAAACTATCTAATCTGTGTTTGAAAGAATCAACACTTCCTGCTTCAACCATCTCCTTAGGGAGCCTGTTCCACAAGTTCACTATTTGCTCACTCAAATATTGTTTACATTGATTCATTCAGAATTTACCCCCTTCAATTGCAGGCCATGTCCTCTGGTTTTACTATTCTGGACAAGTTGAAACAGCCTGTCATGATTTATATTGGCTTGCCCCTTTAGAATCTTAAAGACCTTAAACACAGCAATCATGTCGCCTCTCAATTTTCTCTTTTCCAGCGTGAACATGCCCAATTTACTTAGTTGCTCCTCATAGTCCAGTCCTTCCAATCTCTCAATCATTTTGGTTGCCCTCCTCTGTATCTTCTCGATTTCTCCAATATCCTTTTTGTAATATGGTGACCAGAACTGTCCACAGTAGTCGAAGTATGGTCTTACCAATGATTTATACAGTGGCAGGATTACCCCACTATTTCGGCTTGCTATTTTTGATACTTTTGACACATCCCAACATCTGGTTTGCTTTATTCACTGCCACAGAGCATTGATGAGAGAGCTTCAATGTATTGTCAATCAGGACCCCCAAGTCCTTTTCATTTCCCAGACATATTATTTTTCTTCCATTGAAATAATACTCCTTTCCAGGATTTTTTGTCCCCCTGTGAAGTACTTTACAATTTTCCATATTGAATTTCATCTGCCACTGATCTGCCCAATTCCCAAGTATGTTCAAATCCTCCTGTAACCTATCTTGTTCAGCTTAGCAACCTACCACCTTCATTAGCTTTGTGTCATCTGCAAACTTAGCCATGTGCTTGCAACTCCTAGTTCCAGATCCTTTATAAAAATATTAAACAAAAGAGGTCCCAAAACAGACCCTTGTGGAACTCCACTGGTAACATTTTTCCAGTCTGATGGCATTCATTTTACCACCACCCTCTGGGCTCCGTGACCCTATCACTCCCACCCTCGCCCGACTCCACTGGCTCCCCATCCCCCAGAGGATCGAATTCAAGATCCTCGTCCTCACCTTTAAAGCCATCCATGCCCTTGCCTCCTCCTACTCTCTGACCTGCTGACTCCCTACCAACCTGCCTGCTTCCTCCATTCAGCGGGCTCTGGCCTGCTCCATGTCTCCCGCCCGACCTGCCCTACCATTGGTGGCCGGGCTTTCAGCCTCTCTGTCCCCACACTCTGGAACTCCCATGGTCCCTTCACCTCACTTCCTCCCTTGCCTCCTTCAAGGCCGGTCTCAAGACCCTTCTCTTCAACCGTGCCTTTGGTCTCCCTCCCACCTCTCTGCCTTCCCTCACCCCTACACCACCCCTCCCCCATGCTCGGGCCTCGATACCTGACTTTTCAGTGCTTTGGGACATCCTCCTGACGTGAAAGGCGCTCTATAAATGTAATTTTGCTGTTGTTGTTCTTCCAGATACGAGTTGCGTATCCATTGTAATATACCTCCACTGATTCCCGCTTTCTTTACTTTCAATACCAGCCTCTCAAGAGGAACTGTATCAAAGACCTTACTGAAATCCAGATATACAACATCCACAGCCTTACCCTTATCAAACTCCCTTGTCACACCATGAAAGAAAACCAGTAAATTAGATTGTCAAGACCTTCCCTTTATGAACCCATATTGGCTATCATTTATCAGATGCTCCATGATATTATCCTTAATAAGTCTCCATAATTTTACCCACAATGGATGTCAAACTTACTAGTCTGTAGTTTCCTGGATCACTTTTGTTACCTTTTTAAAAATAGGCGTAACATCTGCCTTTCTCCAGTCCCCCAGCACCTCTCCAGTATTCTATCATTTTCGAAAGATTTGTGCCAGCTTTTCTGCAACTTCCTCCCTTAGATCCTTAAGGATCCTCGGATGCAATTTATCCGGCCCTTGAGATTTATTTACCTTAAGTTTACGCAGGTGTTTGGCAACCATGCTGGTAGTGATATGAATAGTGTTGCAACTTTTCTCTGTGACATCCTTGAGTTCCCTTTCCAGATCAGATATGTTACCCATCTCCTCCTTGATAAAGACTGATACAAGAAGCTTATTTAGCACTAGTGCAGGCTGTGTAGCATTATTTGTCATGTTGTCTCCATAACAAAACTTCAGTGGCCCTATTCCTTTGCTTTATAATCTTCTACTCTTAATGTAACTAAAAAACTTTTTATTATTTTCCGTCACATCTCTTGCCATGTTCAATTCAAAGCTTTTCTTTGCCATTCTGATGCCTGTTTTGCAGTCCTGGCATGCCTTCTGGTATTGAGTCCAACTTATTTCCGTGCCATTTGCCTTCATGGCCTTAAATGCTTTTTTTTCCTCCTTATGATTTGCTTTGTAGTCCTGTCCAATCAGGCAGGAGTGCCTTTAATAACAAAAGAGTTTCTTCTAATAGCCTGTGAGTCAAAATAGCAACTGCTGCTGGTATCTGGAAGGACATTGGTGGGTTTGCAATACCCAGAAGCAGATTGGGTTGTTGTGGAGATTATCAGTCAGGGTAATGGTCAGAAGTGTGTGGAGTAAGGAAACTTGCCCAACATTTCGCCCTGCCTGGGAATCCAGCTGTTAACGCTGACATATTCTTAAATTTGAGCATGTGCCTTCTGCACATCCCTCGTCCCACTCGCTCCACCATCAGAGGCTGTGCTTTCAGCCACGATGCTCAAAACTCTGGAACTTTCTGCCTCAATCCCTCCACCTTTGCCCCCTCCTTGCCCATTTTCAGATCACACATGAAGACCTTCCTTTTTGACTGTGCTTACAGTCACCTCCTGTATCTCTCGGCTCAGCGTTAAGCTTCACAGCTGTTAAGTGCTCGGAGATGCTATCCCAGGTGAAGGGTGCTATTTGAATGCAAGTTGTTATTGTAAATTTTAAATGGGATATTAATTTACATGTACCATTAGAAGTGTGAATCCCTTTTCCTTATAGCTTTCTCCTCTTACCTCTCCTCGTCTGAACACTGTGATCCATGCTGAGGTATAGTTCCATAGCCATCATCCCTCCTTTGGTATCTTGCCCAAGTGGCAATTCATGTGTGATTTGGAGACCAAGTGTTTGCAGGCTACTTGACATAGAGGCATTGTGTGCTCAATGGTAGCACACACGCCTCAGAAGGTTGTTGGTTCAAGCCCTAAGTCTGTTCAAGCCCCTAGCTCAGGTTGGCCAATACTTCAAAGAACAGGATTAAACTTCGGAACATTTATGGTCTTTATGATTCAGTCTCGTACCCTGTGATGAATAGTCACAGAATCATCAAGCAAACCAAACCCTTTCTTGTAATTGAAGTTCTGGAATTTACCTGACTGCAGTTTCAGCATCTACAGTGCCTGAGCAGGGATAAGAAAAGGACTAAATTCAACATCTTTGTACACTGTAACTGCAATTACTCTGTTTTTTGCTTATTTCATACAACTGAAATTTTTGTTACAGCAGATCTGCTTTGCAGTAGTTTAACATTATCTTTTGTTTAATCCACAGAATGGAAGCAACCGTTATCTGGATTCAGGACTTATGTTAGTTTAAAAAAAAACAATGGATGAAATCAATAGGAAATGATGATGTGATAACAAATGCCCTTTTAGTGGGGCACATCAAATCATTGCTTTTAGCTAATCCGTATATTATCATTTGAGTCTGCTAATAACAGATTTATCAAGCGTAGACTAGTCTCATGCTACAGATGATTTCCAAGCATTATAAACATGGATCAGATCAGTCAGCTTGGCATTCATCTACAAAAATACAGTCACTACACTTGACACTGAATCCTGAGAAGTGCTTAGAGACAACAACAACAACAACAAGATTCCATTTATAAAGCGCCTTTCACGTCAGGAGGACGTCCCAAGGCGCTGCACAGTTGGGTCATGACCCGAGCAGGGGGGAAATGGTCAGGGTGAGGGGAGGGAAGGGAGGGAGCGAGGAGGGGGGAAGTGGTCAGGGTGAGGGGAGGGAAGGGAGGGAGCGAGGAGCGGGGAAATGGTCAGGGTGAGGGGAGGGAAGGGAGGGAGCGAGGAGGGGGAAGAGAGTCGAGCGGGGAGCTGAAGGCACGGTCAAAGAGAAAGGTTTTGAGACCGGCCTTGAAGGAGGAAAGGGAGGAAGCAAGGCGAAGGCACTGGGGGATGGAGTTCCAGAGCCAAAGGAGACATCCTCCAAGTGTGAAAGGCTTTATATCAAATGTAAGGATTCTTA